CTGTTACAGGCGTCAAAGTATATTAATTAATGATTCACATATGTACGAGTATACCTGCGTCGTAATTCCTATCGTTGTTTATTCACGAAATAATTACAATGTGCGCATATATTGGAGAAGATATTTTGGTTTGACAATTAAACGTTCAATAATTAATAAAACAAAATACCTACTGCACCGTTGTATATTATTATATACATTTCTAAGTTATAAAACTCAATTATGCAATTCTAATATCTTGTGAAAATAACAATACAAACGAAAAACTTAAGTAATTTCTGCCTAGTGATTTTATTGCGACACAATTTTCCTAGATGTACACAATAAGTGCACAGATATAATACAAACCAATCAGATATACGCGATTCTATAATAGTAAATGTGAAATTTAGCAGCTGAAAAGCATTGTGAAAATATGTGATGTGGGTTTTATTTAGGGAAAGCTATAAGGTAATTAGTTTTTCTTTACAACTCGCTCCTTTTTTATTGGACAGTATCATCTTTACGTTGAGCTGGTCTCAGGTCTCAAATTCCCTAGAACCAAAAGAAAAAAAGTTTAGTTTATTTACTAACTATAAATATAATAACATTTCGTTATACTTTTGAAAGGCTTAACCTTCACACCCATTTTATTTTATGAAATACACCACTTGTATTTTCTAACTGGGTGGATGTCAACAAATATAGCTACACTGACTTTTGAAAACCTCTGGATGCCACGCCACCACTTATCGTGAGTACAAAATCGATTGGTTAGGTAATCCTTAACTTAAGAGAGACGAATACTTATTTGTTTCTACGCCATAAAAAATCCGACTAAAAAAAAATACTTGAAAATTATTTCTGCATCATGATATAATTTATGCATTTCACAATTATTATTTTTACAATTATTTCACGAGTTAAATGATGGGAAATTGTTGCACAGTAGTACTTTATTTGAATATCTAATACAATTGTAAGTATTTATTTTTAGTTATTGTTTGTGTATTTAATTTTCATGGATAACATGTTTTTTTTATTCGAATGCCGTTATTACAGAAAACGTAAAAATTGTGATAATTACTCGGGACTACATGTATGTTTACATATTTTCAATGCTCTAGGACAAAATATAAATATTGGATGTATACTGTATTGTATGTTGTAAATAAATTAGTTTTTTTTAAAATACAGGACGAACATACTTCGCACGATGGGTTGGCCACTGTTATAGGTGATAAATTGGGTAAATATGATATAGAAAGGAATTCAATACACTAAATCTATACACAACGATTAACCATTCCTAACGAAAAACGATTTTAAGCGGTTTTAAATGTTTTAAAAAGCCGTAATATTTAGGATTTTCGTCAAAATTTGACATTAAATTTTTTTAAAAGCAAAAATACTAGATTAAACTTAACTTTTTCTTATTGACCACTAAGTATAACTTATAATGAATCTTCTGTTAAATCTCCAAGCATTTCGGTTTGGTCTAATAATTTTATCCACTGAGTACTTACTAAATAAAAATGACCATATAACTTATTCGTGTCGTCCAAATTTCAGGTCTCTACAAATATTTTGAACTGAATAACAACAACAAAACCAAATTTAAAACTATAAAAGCATTATTTTCGTTTATATTCACGTTTTTCCTTTGTTTTTTCTGATTTTTCCATTTTTTCAGAAAACTCCTGGTAAAATCAACAAATGACCTAGGCAAAATTCTTCGCACGGAAAGACTCTTATATTTTCATAAATCTCAAACTAACTTTTCATAATTTTAATGTCTACGAATCTACAAGATTTTCGAAAAATTATTTATCCGTCGAGTCTGGATATTAAACAGAGTATACATATAATATTATAATATACTAACACAGATGTTGACGTTTACTGAAATTATATAAAACAGTATAGTCAGTTTAGTAAAAAAAAGTATAATTCGATTAAACGAAAATTTAGTGTTGTCCGCGTAGATATATTTCAAATTACAATTTAATAAACAAAAAAAAAATAAACGACCTAGAAATAAAGAGTCGCTTTTTTTGTAAATTAAAACATGAAACTTGCTCGCGGCATGCGTAAACAAATACAATTATGTCATATACATTAATAAAATAAAAATCAAAAAATATTTTATCAAACTAAAGAAGAAAATATTTTATGTTTTTAAACGGGGATCTTTTGATATCCATTTCTCAAATAATCGAATTAATATTTAAAATTTCAAACGTTCCTATATAACGAATGTGTCAAAAAAAATCCAACTTTGAATTTTTCCATCGTTAATTTGTCGAAATAATATTTTTTTTGTATCTATTCAATCCTGCAGAGCACTATTGAAAGTGTACGAAAACCCATTATTGCTATATTGCTCGGTAGATTGACGGAGACGACAAATTTTACTGTGACGCTTTCTTAATATATTCGGCATTTTCGCTCGGTATTACTTTGTGAATAAAATTGTTAAGTTCCAATAGGTTTTCAACAAAATTTTAAAAAAAAAATATCCTAAAAACAATAATTGTCAGTTATTGACGATACGATTTTTGTTGATTCCCAGGTTAGCTACAATTTAGTGCTACAAGGGAAAAATACGATTAATTATACCTAATCTAACCTAACCGGAAATATTTTTTTTTTTTTATTACAGCAGGCCTATAAGTTATAACAACGATGCGGGTTAGTTTGTCATACATTATTAATTATTATCATGTTGTCTAATCGAACAGATTTTAGTAAGAATATTGTTTATTATACGTATATTTATATATATTGTTTTATACGAGGACTTTGCCTATAATTTTTTTATTTTTTTTTTTTGAGGGGGGGTCCGGATCGAGAACCATCGAACAACCACCTGAAAATACCGGTGAATCATTTGAAGCAATTGTTTTTTACAAAACATTACATAATAATAAAGTATTATGCAACCATTATTATAAGTGGTTAGGCTGATGGTGCGATAATAGTTATTATTTAAAATCCAGTATTTTTTTTTTTATAAATGTTTCAGTTTAGAAATCAAAAACACGAGAGAAATACAATATATTATTATTAACACACCGTCTGAACGGAATTATATTTCGGTAACACGTTTTGCTTGTTTTTCGGTTCGTTTTTTTTTATTATTTTTGGACCAAACAGATACATAATATGATTATAGTTTCTTCGTAAAAATTGAAACCGTAAGATGTGTGTAATTATAATTATTTTGTATGTATGTAAAAATATACGACTCGGAAAAAAAATCTTTACTTTTCGAAAGAACGTTAATTTTTCTCCAGCAATAATTAAAAACCAAACACGGTGGTCCAAAATTTTATTATACGTCAAAAAAAAAAATAAAAATATAAGAATACAGAGAGACCACCGTACATTATACTCTCACCGTGTTTATTTTGTTCGTTTTGGCCACCATCGCCATATATTTATTATTGTATTCAATTTCTAAACAGACACGTGTGTGGGCGACTGCAGTTGGTGTCTGCAAGATCGGCCAAATCGTGTATTAATGCAACATTTAGTTTTTCCCCCTCGATGTACTTGCGTTTATATATTAATCTGTAAATAGTACACAATGTATTTTTCCCGTGAACGATTTAGAAAAAACCAATTGAAAACCAGACTAGACTAGTGTAATTCATTACAGATTCTCTTCTGTTTAATATCGTTGTGTTTTTATTGTGAATTGGGTATGTTTTGGCGATATACATGTATTCATTAAGGACTTGAAACAATCAATAAAACAATCAATATCGAAAAAGATTAATATTTAAAAGAAAAAACGATTCATTTAATATCTCACATATTATAATATAAACGACCCCGGTATTAAACCTCAGTCATCGAGTCACTAATCACCTATCGAAAAAAGAAAAAAACACTTAATAACTTAGATATTTTTTTTTGTAAACATTTTCGGACATTTGGCAACCCCTGTATTTGTAACGCTATTCATAAATTTTGCAATAACAGAAGCCCAATAATTTATGAGATTTTTATTGAGCATATACATTTTGTATTTCTGTGTGCGTGTGTTTCCGAGTTTTTAATAGTATTTTTTTCGATGCATTTGACGAATGGACGCTACTATTGAAATAATATAATATTCGTTCGGCCGGGCACACATTTGATAAATTATGTTCATTTTGTTTTTGCAGTGGTGTGATTAGCCATTTATAATATTTTTCAAACAAATCATCGTCGTCATAATAATAATAATATTATTGTTATTTAATGAAATATGAAATATTAGGTAATTAATTAAAATCGCTGAAATAATAACATTAAAAAAAGCAATTTTTTTTTTTTTCAAAATAATTAACTGAGGCGCACTTATACATAGGCACTTTCACTTATTATTATTTAACGTGCTTTAGATTTTGCTCGAATTTCTCTCGGAGTAAGAATGACTTCAGACATATCTGTGTAGTTATCGGAGGACTTCCAGTGAAGTATTTTTCTACTGAGACCATGATGTGGATGACGCGGAACACTATTTCTTCCGGTGCGATCTTTAGTAGAGGCGATGGCATGAGCATATTGCTATGTTCGGAGCCATCCCTAGAGAGTCATGTTAATTCAAAATCGAATGACTATATTAGCTTTATTTACACAGTATTCTGCTTTTACTAATATTTAGATTTATAAATATTATACATATTTACTAATAATTAAAGTATTAAGAATTAATCTCTTTACCATTTCAATTTTTTTTTTAACTCTCACATATTATTAGTCTTATAAATTACTTCAAGTAGGACAAAAGGGCAACTAAAAAAAAGCATTAAATACAAATATAAAGCTAAACTACTTTAACGTATTTTTATTGCCATTAAGTTTAGTATTAAATTGATATACATTTTATCAATTTTTAGATGTTATTAAGATATTTTCATTAATAATAAACTATTCTGTGATAAAAACTGAGGCAAATCCACTCGTATTGTAAACACCATTGATATAAAATCAATTAAAGATATTTGTTTAAAAACTAAAAAAACAATGTTGTTAAGTTTGAAAAACATTTTATTCCAGAATTTTGAAGAGTGTTTATTCAAAGACTCAATAGGGGGCTGTAACCTGATAATTCCTCCTTCGCTCCGATACAAATGGAAGCCAAGTTAGAGTCAAGGACGAAGTGGAGGGCAGTAAATCGGTCCGTGAATGTGCTGCCAAGTCAGAAGAAAGATTTTGAGAGACGACTAGTTTAACCTAGTTAAATACTATTTATTATAGCTGATGGAACCCGTAGGGGAATAACCTCTACTCTCTGTATTACCTATACTTTTGTCTTTAATTTATTGATTTGATGTCTATTAAATGATAGCTAGTTAAGGTAAGGAATGTAAAGCACTAGATGCAAACAGTAAAATCTAACAAGTCGGGAGGAAGAAAAATAAAAATACAACTATTGTTTCGCCACGGAAACATATATACGGTTATCTAGTCGCCAATACACGTTTCTATAATCGAATGAAAATGTAATCTTAAAATTGCAGTTTTTCTTTTTTTCTTTCTTTTTAGTATCTACGACAATCAACTTTTAAACGATAAGACAAACGAGTACACTCTTATAACGCATGGTGTTTTTCTGCAATGTTTATGTGTATACCATTAAATACTGTTAGCCATTTGTTGAATAAAAAAGTAATTGTTTATGACTTTTTTTTCTATATATATATAGTACAATTTAAACTAATTAGATCTAGAACCAGATGGGTTTGTATAGTATAATAAAATAAGTAAATATAATTATATACGTATATACAGGGTATCTCACAAAAGTTTATTTTATTTTAAAGTGATGGAGTATGGTGTTAACCGGCAGAGATGGGCAAAATATTTATAAAGTTAATTTTAAAATCCAATAACTTAACTTCAATATTATTATAAGATACATTAAATAAATTTAGTTGTCGTAGCACGTGCCTGGTACAAAATTTAAGAAAGAAAAATCATGAAAATAATCTTGGAGCCTTATCAGAATGAAAATACAGGACAATGGATTATCCAAAACAATAATGAGCTCAGAAAATTGTATCAAATGTCAGATATAATCAGGAAAGTTAAGAAAAGAAGACTAATGTGGACTGATCTCGAGTAGAGCTCTAGTACAACTTATACAATATATATACTATTCCAAAATAAAAATAACCATTGGGATATCCTCACGAATTATATGGCGCGATCAGGTGAAAATAGTGCGGGAAGGTAGAAATCAGGAACCGATTGATATAATTCAGCGACAAACAGGTTGAATTGGTTGGAAATATGTTAGAGAGTTAGATTTGAATGATCGTATACTAAAATTAAATTAGAAGATTAACGTACTCTTGTAGTACATAAAACGACAGATGTTTTATCCATTGTAACTTGTATACAAATTTCGTGAAAATTTGATATGGATTTTAGTTTTTTTTTTCATTATATTGAATTATTATACATGTCCATTTGCCCAGACCCACAACATTTAAACAAATTATTGTTTTTTTTTTTTTCATTCGTTTTTGCTACTTTGTCGTTTCATTTTTGCTAGGTCCCTAACTCGAGATATTCACATTTTACTACTGACGGAACTGGGGATATTGTAGCACATTAATCAATTCAGTATCGCCGCAGCTCTCAAATTCACAGCTACACCTTCGATAGTAGACATTTTTAAAATATCAATATCTCGTGTTGTAATTATAAAATATATTCCCCGTATTATCGGTAAAACGGTATTTATATTTATATAAAATAAATTCTCCCTAAAGTAAAAACAAAAATACTCATTATTTTGAGATTTTGGTCTTACCGGCGTCATAACTGATATATTAATATGTATAATTTGAAGTCGCAATTAAATTTGTCTCTTATCGAAAAAAAAAAAACATTAACAATATAATATTATTATACCTGATAATACCTGGTACGCAGCCGCTGTTGAAAGTTTATTGTCTTCAGTAGGATGCCCGATGACATTTTATCACGACTGTTTTTCACACCGCATTTATTTTTTAATATTCACGGCGAGAAGATGAATAATAATTTTCTTGTGAAACTGCCGAATAACTGTAAATATACTCGAATCGAACATTTTAATCGCTTGACGCACGCCCTTTTACTACGCTTTGAGATGTTTATAATATTCCCTTTTGCCACCGCACATCCGATTTCGCGGTGTTGTTCCAATTATTATTCGGTATAAGTTTTAAGCCGAGTCACGAAACATTCTCAATTCATTATTATGGATCTCTGCGCAGTGATGTTGGTCCTCTTTCAAATTTTCGAAATAATTTCAACATCAAATACCACTGAATACTGACAAAATATACTCGGATTGATTCCCAATACGCCTTTGTTTTCACGATTTGATCTCAACAAGAATAGTTTACACGTTATAATGCACACGTTAAATAAATACAATATACCAATTAAATAATATAAAACGAAATATTCGTTATTATTTCTAAGTAAACAATTAAATACTTTTTGTATTTTTATTAACGTTATATTGTGAATACAGAGTGATTTTTTTTTATTTTTTTTTTGTAAGATTCTTTTTTAACCCGTTAAATTTTTTTCCTTAAGAATTTTTAGAGGACAATATATACGGTAGAAAATGCATTCAACGTTTTCGAAAATATAAAAAGATTTTTGATTCTCAATGGCATGTTAGCGAGATGTACGTAGGTAATGATGTAACTATGATATTACGGTGTTTTTTTTTTTACAAGTAAATTCTCTTTTGATATCTGTTTGAAAAGTTCTACATAATATATGTAATGCATACATGCATATTATACATTATATATTACATATTATGTATAGACTATAGCTTACTAATATGCATAAAACTTACCTCTGAACTTTATATTAAGAGGTATATGTGACTTATGTTCCAGGAACATTTGGGAAACTTCAAATATATGTTCCTGTGTACTGTGATATTATGGTGAATTAGTAGTTTTAAATTTTCCAGAAAATCGTAGTGAACAATATTTTTTAAAAATAATAAAAACTGTAAAGACGTATATAAAACCACACCTAAGCAAACGTTATCGTTACAGTTTACAATATTATTGAATTTGCCCATCCATAAATATACCGGTCTGTCCGAGATCCAAAATATTTTTATTTATAAAATAAACTGGCTAGTTTTAGATTAGTCTACAATAATCTATCGACGTTTAATAATATTTTCCGTTACAGCGTTACCGATAATACGAGTACTATACAATTTTAATCCACGTTTTTCAGTATTATGACATTAAATTATCAAACTTTCCATGTAATCAAATGCCCGTGTAAAAACAACTGTTGGTAAAAACTCGAGAAAAAAAAAATTCAAAATTACTCAAAAAATACAAAAGTTAACAAGGTTTTAAAAAAGGCATAAAGAAATATTATAATTTAGTGTAAAAAAATTACCTTTATAAAATATAGTAGATGTATTCAATTCGGACAAAACTATAGCACAACGAAGGTATACGTCCATACAAAACCTGAAAAGCTAAATGTAAAAATGTACCTTTTTTTTTTTTTTTGAAAAGAAAAAAATCCCATTTACGGTAAATATATTGATATTACAGTGGTGCATATCACAATGATTTGTCTCTTCTTTTTATTCCTACATTAATAGCAGACTTCCGCAGTAAAAAAAAAATAAACAATTTTGAGCTAATTATAGACATTTGACATTTTCGAGCTTTTAATTTATTTCATGTTGATAAAATTATTTATCAAAAAAAAAATGCTTGAAAATTTACACTAAGTTCATATTTGGTAGTAAATAAAAATGTGGATCAGAATTTAGAAAATTTTTATTAGTGTTCTAAATTCAAACTTTGAAAAAAATTGTAAAAATTACAGTATTTCAAAACATATTAACCGAACTTCACTCATAATTGATTAATCTCGATGTACGTTATATAAATAAAACAACTATATCCTACCTTCTCAACTTCCTACCAACAATTGTAGGTCAGATTGTAGTCAAATCATCCATAGAAAACTTATCTTTTTTTTTGTAAATGATTAGTATTCTAACTTTTTTAAATCAAATATTATAAAATGTTATCCTTATTTTTTTAGTTTAGGTTATAACTAACTTTTGATTTTCAAATAACAATCTATATTAAAAATTCTATGAATAGATCAAGTTTTAATTTAAATATATTTCAGTATTGACATTTTTCATTTTCGTCATACTATATACGAGGATAATGCACATTTAAGTTTATATACAGGGAAAGCATTGAAGCATAATTTGTGTAGGCGGCACTCTCGGCGTTTGAATAGTGATCCACTACTTTCCGTTTACTAACAAAACAGCAAACTTAAAAGCGAAAAGTATTTCGTCAATGGTTCGATGGAAATTAAAATGTCAACACCAAAATATATTTTTACATTTTGATATTTGAAAATCAAAAGTGAGAAATCTACATAAATCAGGGTGCAAAAATTATGAGAATGCAATATTTTGGAACAGTTGGTTCCAAAATAATTAAATAAATCATTTTTTTTTAAAATAACTTTTTCTCGGAAGATTCTGAGAATCTTGTATAACAGCGTCCTTAAAACCGTATTATAAATATATTGTCGTGAAATTTAGGCAGGACGGATTTAAATAATATTATGAATTATTATCATGTCAGTGTTACATTTTATATAGATGAATTATCGATATATCCATTGATTGGAGAGAGGTAAATTTTTAAGGGAGACTATACTTACCAAAAGTTAAGAGGAGTTTCTGAATTTCACTAAACTTAAACAAAGTTTCAGGAAACCCACCACGAAGAAAAGATTTCCAAATTGTTTTTCACTCGTATAAATTTGATCATAAAAATATTACACTAATAGGGTTTAAAAATAAACTGCATTCCCTTTAAATATTATCTTACGCATATACCCGCTCAGTAAAAAATAAATTAAAACAAAATTTGATTAAGCGTATAATCTAATAGTTCTTAAAGAAGTTATTTGTAATAAAACTAAATCGAGTTTTTAAAATGTCATTAAAAATGTCGCCATGACAACAATATTTAAATTGACCCTCCAAACTTCGAATACTTACAGACTACAGGGCACTGACAATTTTAACTTAAATAAGAAAGAAAAGACACCGTCCCTCCACTTTAACTACTGTACACATACTATATAAGTTATATAATCTATGATTATCAAAGTATACGGTTATGATGCTCCAGAGCCTAGGGCATAGCCGTTATAAGTGTATTTTTATTTTTAGGTAAATGAGAAATAAGTTATCTGAACTGTTATTCAAGATGAATAATTGAATCATCTAGAATCTAGACGATTTAAAAAGTTTGGGAACCGCTAGTCCAGACAAATCTTTTAAATCATTATTTATATAATTATTAGAAATAACAGGTAAAACATCTAACTAACTTAATATGGTTAAATAAATAAATTATGAAGCATTATCACTTGCCCACCCTTTTTTTCAAACTTACATTTAACACTCTGTTTTATACTAAGTAATATCATCAAGAAAATCATCTTTTTTATTTATAGACAAGTATATTGTATCTTATTCAGATA